GCTGTCCGCGCCGCCGCCGGTCCCGCCTGCGCTCGCCGCCGCGGTTCCCACCTTTCTGGGAGTCGCGGGGCCGCGGGCGCCGCTCACCTTTGGTCGCGAGCTTCAGCCCAGCCCGCCCCTGTTGCTTTTATGGCGAGGGTCGCTCATCCAGACGTGCGGCCTGAGGAAACGGGCCAGGGGGGAATATGGCCAACCTGGAGAAACGCAGAAGGAAGATAGTGACTTTCCGAAACAGAATCAGAGAGGCTGGGTGTTGACAGCGGGCGGCGGCGTCATCGCCACTTCCTGTCGGACAGGTCCCTGTGCTGGTGAAGGAAGAGCCCAAGAACGTCACCTTGGGAGCAGGTCATTGACGAAGAACCCAAATATGCCAGGGGATCCCTGGATTTCACTCTCAATTAAAACAGGCTGTGCTGTATTACGTTTATTTCGAAGAAAACAAAGACGGTGTTGGCAACTTAATAAAAACTTAAAATAGCCCAACTATGTTTCACCACGACTCTGAAAATAGACCACAGCTGCTAATGACGATATTGTCACGGTCATAACTTGGTGCCTGCTCAGGCGAGGTCGTGGGCTTTTATTTTTCTACAAGGTGAGCATTGGATTCTGTTTAAGGGCAAAGGTCAAATGATGTGTTTGAAGTTCTGCGCCATTATTACAGCAACCCAGGCATTCTAGGGATCCTTTATGTTCAGCTAAGTTTAAGATTCAAGTTACCAAATAGAACTTTAGTTTCTGGTGGTGGTTTTCCTATTTTCAAGCCTTTAGAAAAAGCATGAAAGTTAATTGCAAAAACAAATATCCCCAGAAGGTATGAAGTCATTCTTTATAAATTCAAAATTAACTTTAAAAACATTTGGGGATGGCCCTCTCTGGTGGCGCAGCGGGTTACAGCACAGCACTAAGAAACAAAAGTCATTTCGGCATGAGTTCGATTCCCGCCTGCCCCGGGTAGGCGATCCACATGGCGCGGCAGACCTCTCCTGACACTGCTCCCCTCAGCAGTGTACTTCATCTATCTGCCTGTTCTGCTCCCCGCTCTGTCTCTGGTGAATCCTATCACCCTCCACATCTCTGGCCTGTACCCCAGTTCTGTACGAATAAATAAATAAGTTTGGGGAGTTTGGTTTCGATTAAATCAAAAGAAAACTATTGGGATTTACTGGGTCATTTTTCTTTTGAAGTTGAACTTCATTGTCTCAAACTCACCTACAAAATAATGACCATTATAAAGTGAAACAATAACATCACAATTTAATGTTGATGCAGTATAGATGACAGATCGTGAGCAAAGTAGGTGGCCCAGAATGCAGGTATAACAGGCAAAAGTGTTGTGTCTGAACTAAGCATAATATAGTTCGTAATTTTCAACTCTACATGCTTCCTAGGTACAAAAGTGACCTTTAGTCATTATTGTGATGTCCACATTGTGATTTTACACACTGAGAAGCATGCTGTCTGTTCATGTTACATTTATGGTTTGAATAACGAGGGGTAGCTAGTATAAAATAAAAAATATATTAGCAAATACAGCTTTATGAATTCTAAGTTTTTCTTCACTACTCAACATTGTATCTTTGACCAGAATCTACATCGCTTTAGACTTTCTTTCAGAAGTGCTTTTTATACTTATGTTGTCATTTCAAACTTACACATTTTATTTTGAGACCAACATTATTTTGTAGGTGAGTTTGAGACAATGAAGTTCAACTTCAAAAGAAAAATGATCAGGTAGGTTGGTCTCCTACCTTAAAGCCAGTAGATGAGCCAGTAATGAGACTTACTTGAACAGGCCTTAACCTTCTATGGTAGTTCCAACCTGTGGACCTTAGTCATCTGATCTGGGAAGCTTCTTAATTCTTCCTCTGAAGAAGCGTTTTAAGTGGAGTGCAGTTGGAAGCCTTCAAGGGTCAATTATTGTATTATTCCCAAGACTATTGTTACAAGTCACCATTCATTTAAAATGACTCTGAAAACATCTTCTCTCAAGCATCTGAAGGTCAGAAGTCCAAATCTCATAGCCCCATATTCTTTCTAAAGGCCACTATAGGCGGGAATGTCCTCCACCTTCTGGTGGCTCTAGGTATTCCTGTGTTTCCTTGCCTTGTGACTGTCACTTCAATTTCTACCTCCATCTTCACATCACCAACCTCTGTGTGTGTCTGATAAGGACCTTTGTGATTAAAGTCCACCCAGATAATCAGTCCTTAAATAACCCACATCTCTAACGAGTCCCTTATTCAAATAAGTTTCCAAGAAAATGAGCTGGATATCTTTGGGAGAAAAGCAGTTCTTCAGCTTACCACAACTCATAAACCTAAATCAGCCTAGAGAAATGCTCAGATTTCAGTGAAGTGTCCACCAAGAAAAAAGAAAAAAAAAAACTTAAAAAAAAAAAAGACATTTATTTTGGGGTAGGGAGTGCTAAGTTTGCAAATTAGGGAGCCCAAAATTTGGTATCAGCCCAAATTCTGTCCCTCTAGGGTCTTTATTGAAGGGGTGGTAATGGGGGAAAATGATGGAAAGAATAGAATTGATCAAGAACTAGAACTGGTGACAGAATTCATGCCTTAGAATTCACTGCCTTGTAGTCAAGCTGGCCTTGATTACCATGGAGACAAGAAAAATTATCTTTGCTCTGTTCTTAGAGAAGGCCATGTCTAGTTGGAAACAGAGTTCTTATCATTCAGATAATAATGGTTTTTGTTTCTTTTTTAAGTTACAAATTAAGGAAGATGGTACGCTCCCCAATGGCGCAATGGGTTAGGACACGCACTGCAAGCTAGTCCCAGCTGCAGCTACTCAGTGTGAGTTCAATCCCAGCCCTCTAGCTGACCCACATGACGCAACAAGCCTCTCCTGTCTTGCCCACTACTCCCCTCAGCATAGTACTTCACTGATCTGCCTGTTCCTCATTCTGTCTCTGGTGAATGCTCTCACCACCCCTGCACTTCTGGCCTGTACCCCAGCTCAGTATGCATAAATAAATAGATCTTAAAAAAAAAAAAAGATGGAGTTCCAGGCAGAAGATGGAGTCATTCAGTCCACCAGAATATCCCTTTTTACAGAAGTGTTATGATTTTTTGTTGAAAATCTGAAGTTTGTATTTGACTCATCTCTGGTTTTATTTTATTGTACTACCAATGCTCTAAGCACAGAAAACTGACAAGATTCCTGTCTGTAAGAGAGGACTTTAGTGGGCAGTATCATGGGCAGCCCCAGGACACCTAAATCTGCCTGCCCTAAATGAGTTCTGCATGTGCCACATATGCATACTCTAGTGCATAAGACCTTCGATGGCAAGGGACTTTCATACAAATTTGTGTACAATAAGTAATGTGCAATAAAGGAGATAAGAGAAAACATAGTTAAAATAGTTTCTAATGGAAACACCCAGTTACCCAACCCCTGTCCATAAATGTCCAGCCAAAGAGGGTTGACCCAAAGCAGGACCACTAAAGCCTGAAAGCCTGCCCAAGCCTAAGGCACCTTCTGGGGGGACCCATGGAAAGGGCAGAAGGAGCCGGGCAAATCTGAAATCTGGAAGGAAAAGAGCAAAATCAAGATGCAAGTCAAGATTGAGGCTGCTACTGCCAGCCTCCCACATGTCTTGTTCAAGTGTCTCCTTTCATGTGCCCCAAGACCCCGACACAAGTCCCAAGCTGAGAAGCAAGTACAGCTGCTTCTTCACATGTCTGTCTGCTCCACATGCCTCCTCCAGGCCTCCTTCTTCTTATCTCTTACTGCTTCCTTCCTCCCTTCTTCCTCTTTCCAGTCTTTTCTAGCTTCACCTCATTGTCCAATGTTACCCTCCATTAGTGTGTGACAGGGAACATGGAATCCCTCCTTTCTTGGGGAATTACTCAGTTACAAGAATGTTCTATCTTTCCTTCCATTTTTTTTAATCATGTAAAATGTATGGTACATAAAAGTGGTGTCATGTTTTTATTTCGACACCACTATTAAATACTCCAACTTGGGCCCTCCCAGATTGGTGCAGCACGTTAAAACACAGCACTAAGAAGTTCCATCATGAGTTCGATCCCTGCCTAGGAGGTGACCCACATGGCATGGCAGACCTCTCCTGATCCACTGACTGCTCCCCTCAGCAGTGTACTTCATTGATCTACCTGTTCTGCTCCCCACTCTCTGTCTCTAGTAAATCCTCTCACCCCTGCACCTCTGTCTCATACCCCAGTTCTAGAATGCATAAATAATTTTTAAGTTTAAAATAAAAACAACATAAAGAATTAATTTAAGATTTATTTAAAAATTTAAAGGCTAGGCCCTCCCCGGTGGCGCAGCAGGTTGAAGCACAGCACTAAGAAATAAAGCCACTTCAGCATGAGTTCGATCCCGCCCCACATATGACCCACATGGAGTGGCAGACCTCTCCTGACCCGTCCACTGCCCCCCTCAGCAGTTCTGCTCCCCATTCTGTCTCTGATGAATACTCTCACTGCCCCTGCACCTGTGGCCTCTACCCCAGTTCTGTATGCATAAAAAAATAAATGTTTAAAAAAAAGAATAGCATAACTTCACCATTTCAATTTAGTAAAAAGTTAGTATCTAATCTGCTTCAATGAAAAAAAAATTTTTTTTTGGCCGAGCACTACTCACTACTTCTTTCTTTCTGTATCATTCCCATACCCATAAAGTGTGTGTTCTTAGGTCTCTAGGTGAATAGACTTGAAATGACTAGGCCAGAAAATATGTTTTCTTTTGAACGGTTAACACATTACTAAATATCTTAGGTGGCCTATAAGCTTTACACTAGGCAAATTAATAACTCAGATCGCCATCTAGTGTTGAACAAAGAGCATTTTCTAAGAGATATTTCCTGACCTTTGTATTTGGAGTTTTATCTTTTTTTCTCTCTATAGAGGTCAGTGTTGTTTTGCTTACCCTACTTTCTTTTGTCAAGAGGATGCTAAACTTGTATTTTTATGCTTACTTTCTTAAATTTGAAGAGAATGAACTGGAGTTATGTTTTCATATTTACTGATAAGTTTAATAATTTTTGAGGCTAAAAAGTTACTTAATCGGCCCTTGCTGGTGGCGCAGCAGGTTAAAGCGTAGCACTGTGAAGCTGCCCGCAGCTGCCTCAGTTGGCGTTGGATCCCCGCGGGAGATGACCCACGTGGCGCCCCTCCCCTCAGCAATGTACTTAGTTGATCTGCCTGTCTTGCTCCCCACTGTCTCTGATGAATTCTCTCACCACCCCTGTGCCTCTGGCTTGTACCCCAGTTCTGTATGTATAAATAAGTCTTTAAAAAGTCACTTAATCATACAGAAATTTTAAACTATTGATACAGTAGTATAAACCATACCACCTTACAAAAAATAATAGAGACATGTGGTGAGTGTAAGTTAATTCAGGTCCACAATTCAGTAATGTTTGGTATACCTAAGGAAAATCATCTCATAACTCTTGGAGTTCTTCCAGGTTGGCAGGT